GATGTTGTTCCTGCGTTGCCAGATCGTAATAATGTCTCGTCCCAACAATTATAAACAAATTTCTTTCTAGTTTTAGTAAGCGTTTAGGAAAAAACTGATATTTTGCACCGAAAGTAGGAATAAATTTAATTAAAAACTAGTTAATAAATAATACAATACACTCACATCAACATTCTCCTGTTTTTATATCTTTTCAGTAAGAAAATCAGACCACATCTGACAACATCGGCCGTCCCCTTGTGCGTGAAGGTTTGAACGCGCACTGCAGCTGTAAATTTAGCTCCACATAAACAAAATTCGACCAACATTCGCAACAATCGAACAAACTAATAGTTATTAAAAAATACATGCATACATATTTCATAACACCGATCAACAACATCACCAACAAAACTTTTAGGCGCAAGTTATAAAGTTAAACACCGAGCATTTGTAACTGCAGCAGCGTGGGAAGGTAGCACAGAACATATAGAAATCCGTTTTCAAGCAAACGAGAAAAAAATCATTCAAATACCACCACTACAAAAACAACACCAGCACCAAGATGGCAACAACTGCTCGTAGCGGGGGCAATGCCAGCGGCAGTACAGCTCAGCGTCCCAACGGTACACAGCAGAATAAGAATTGCCAATTCAAATTGGTGTTATTGGGCGAATCAGCGGTGGGCAAGTCATCGCTTGTGCTACGTTTCGTCAAGGGACAATTCCATGAATACCAAGAGAGTACGATAGGCGCTGCTTTTCTAACACAAACCATCTGCATAGAGGATACGGTCGTCAAATTTGAAATATGGGATACAGCCGGACAAGAACGGTGAGATGCAAGTGTGCTGTAATACATTTGGCGCTTTTTGATATGTATATGATTTCTCCAATTTTATAGATACCACAGCTTAGCTCCTATGTACTACCGTGGTGCACAGGCTGCCATTGTAGTGTACGATATACAAAATCAAGACAGTTTTCAGCGTGCAAAGACCTGGGTCAAGGAACTGCATAAACAGGTAAATAAATTGAATAAACCTTCAACCAAATACGAGTATTTGTTTGTTGGTGTTAATGAGTATGACGCGTTTGTATGTATGTATGTATATTGATGTATGCATATATTTATATTACATCGTGTGCCAAATATGATATAAAATAATTGCGGCTTTTTTTTTTTAAATTGCATGCATATATTCATACATTGACAGCGGTTACTGACCGCAAATTCGAGCGCTTCTTTGAATGGATTGCACAAAAACAAATCACACTCTTGTAATAGTTGTTGTTGTTCGAAAGCTGTACCGCTAACGATTTGCTCTGGCATTAAAGTGTCGATTCTTTCCCATCAAGCAAAATAAACTTAAAGAAAGTTTTTTTTAAGTTTTCAATTATAAACATTAAGGCCCACTTGCAGAACAGCAGGTTATCTATTTAACTCGAAGTTTACCGGTTAAATTAATAAATTGGCTTGCACAACAGTAGGTTAGGCATTAACTCAGAGATAAAAACTTAAATATTTAACCCAAAAATTTTGAGGGTTAAATTGTTAAGTTAGTGTCAGTTCTGCCGAAAACTAGAAATACAAATAAAATTTAAATTCTTTAAATTGTGAAATATTTTATGTAAATAAATGAAAAGATGAACGAATTGGTGCATTCTGACGATGATGAGGAAATCATTGATTACGTCAACTCAGATTTCTATAATAGATCAACAGCGGAGCGAAGTGATCATTATAATGATCTGCGAGAGAAAGCATTCCACAGGAGATTTCGCTTGCAAAAGGAAAGCGTTATTTTCCTTTTAGACAAGCTTAAACCGTGGTTAGAATGCTCAAAGAGGTTGGTACTTCGGCTCAATTTATTCACATTAAACATAATACTGACTTGTTCCATAGCAATGCAATATCTCCTATGAACCAGTTACTATGTGCATTGCGATTCTATGCTACGGGTAGTCAACTCGTAACGTGTGGGGACTTCATTGGTGTCCATGAGTCTACTGCAAGCAGAATCGTGCATAAAGTTACTGATGCTATAGCACGTTTGTACCCAGAATTTATACGAATGCCGACAGAGGTAGAAGACATGAGGAAAGCTGCAGTGAAGTTCTATGAAATTGCTCGATTTCCGCGGGTCATTGGGGCTATAGATTGCACTCATGTCAGGATAAAGTCGCCAGGTATGTACATCCATATGTAGGTACAATTTATGTATTTGCAACTAGCAGGAGTAGAAACTTGTATACTTAAGTTTACTTCAATTTCAGGAGGGGAATATGCGGAAATATATAGGAATCGAAAGGGTTACTTTTCAGTAAACACCCAAGCAATCTGTTCTGCAGATTTATTGTTTACCGATGTCGTTGCAAGGTGGCATGGGTCTTCTCATGATTCTCACATTTGGGACAATTGTAATCAGCGCAGATATTTTGTTCAGGGAGCATATGGTGATTTCTGTTTGCTTGGAGATAGTGGTTATGCTCAAACCACATTTATGATGACTCCATTAGGAAATGTGAGTTCATCAGCGCAATCTCTGTACAATGAGTCACAGATAAGAAGTCGAAATACAATAGAGCGAACTTTTGGAGTTTGGAAAAGAAGATTTCCAATATTGTCCAGAGGAATCCAAGTGCACTGGAGCAGAGTACCTGGAATTATTATAGCTACTTGTGTTCTCCACAATATTGCTCGTCAACAAGCAGATCCGGATCCTGTTGTCGATGCTGAGTACCCTGCAATGATAGAAACTGTAGACAGCCGGAATGAAATACAAAATACCAACAGTTCTTCTAGAACCTCTCCAGGAAATCGGGCCCGTCAAGCGCTTATAGATCAATATTTTGGACGATTATGAATTTTATTGCTAAACAAACCCTCTGTTTCTCATATGTTGTTGAATAAACATATCCTTTAGTTTAACAAAAGAGAATTTGTTTTAATTTTTAGTTTACGGGTTATCATTTAGTTTTTATTTTTGAACAGAGAAGCTTAAATGTAGTATATAAAGATTAATAGTTTCACTTGAATATTCACATAGTTTTTTCTTCAAGATTCGATCTTGTATCTGGACTTGTGAACATCGGACAGCCTTCATTTAAACTTCTTTTTACAAAGTTTGCCTATATTTTTCCAGCTCAAGACTTCTAATCGCCTCATTGTGCTCTAATTTCTTCTTCTTGTCCTCTATTTCCATTTGTCTCAATATCCGGTTATGTTCCCGCCTTTCTTGCTCATCGTATTCGTATCTTTTTTTCGCTTCTTCAATTTCCATTTTTCTTAATAGGCGGTTGTGTTCTAGTATTTCTTCCTTATCTTTTAATTCAATGTCTATAAGTTCTTTTTGGGCCGATACCAATGC